TTTAAAATGGGTTAGTTGACTTAACATGACTATTTAATGTGACTTAATTTTTAAATAAAATTTTCAAATAATTTGAAAGAGTTAAAAATAGCATTTAAGTCAACAGAAACAAATGAACAAACGGAGTGTCGCATCATGATCAGGAAGACGTTTATACTTTGCTAAGTCCATGCATTACATGGGAGGTTCCATGGAGTCTGTATTTCTCAGGCAGAGAGAACAAGCTTAATTCTGAGAACTCAATCTTTGACAGAATTTACATTTTTAAGCAAGGTAATGCATGCTTTTCTTCTCAAAAGCTTATTATGTTGTTTTAAATGCATAATTTATATGGATATTAAATCACAAGAACGATGGCAAATAATACCACCAAATTGTCATGTAGATTTTGTTCCAAGGAACAGAACTAAAAATACACACAAGTACACTCAAATTATCCAGGCTACACTGGGTTCTTTTGAGGTTTTTTTTTTCTTAACTTATTTTATATTTAACCCATATGCTTCTCATGTGATTTTCCTTTCTATGGAAATGCAAGCCCTGATTTAGGCATTTGGAAGAAACTGGGTATATGATGATAATGGAAGGGATAGGAAGCAGTATTAATTCCATTATGAATCATACTTGAAAATTAGTTGGAAAGATTTACGAACCAAACCTTTCCAAAATGAGCCCAATTAGTACAGAAAGAAGGATGGCAGGACTAAATTAAACAAGGTATAGAACAGTTTCTTCATATATTTTGAAATAATACATTGAGATTAAGTACCAGTGAAAGCTGGGTATCATTACCAAATAACCAAATTATAAAATACCACTTTTAACTTAAAGATTCAAGGCCAAAGAACTAATATCTGCTCTTTTAATACTTAGCTAAAAGTGAAATACAAGTTAGTGGATAGCATTCAAACAGGGAGTTGAGAAAGTCAGAAATAGAGGACTAGCCACTGGGGTAGGGGGAGAAATTTAGGTAAGAAAAACTTTTTCCATCCTTTCAGGAAAGGATGGAAATAGACAGTGAAGAACAATCATTTCAAGAGAGGGTGGAACCCAGAGATGGGAGATGGAGGGGGAGACATGAGGAGTTAGGCAGGAGCCCTTCATCCTCTGGTACCTTGGCTCCAAGGTATCTGCCCTGTGCCACTTGGATGGACCAGCTCACCTTTGCTACTGTCTTTTTTGCCTCCTCCGCCCAGGACAGCTAGTCTTTCCACCCCTTTCTTCTAACCCAGCTCCCTAGAGCACACTGAAGAAGCAGGAGGCTGAGAGAGAGTTGGGGAACAAACAAGGAACTATGGCCTCTTGTTCATCTATTTACTCATGACTGGATAGATGAATGAATGAATCTATAGGCACTATGATTAAGCCACCTTGGGAGATATTAGAATGATCAGGCATGGCAAGCTTATGAAGACTGGCTGCCTAGAGCTGTGCTGTTGATAAAGGGTGTGAGTGTGTATAGGCTTGGAGAGAAAGATTCCAAGACTAATTACGAATGGCTGCCATGGGCATGGAAGAGCTGAGTGGCAGTACACAGAGTATCTCGGCCTTCCTCACTTAGGGGCAGCAATTGAACTGGTACTTGAAGGTAGGAACAAGGTGATGTGGAAAACAGGACCCTGGGGAGAAAGGGTGGCTCACACCCTGAAGCACATTAACAGCAGAAGCAGTGAAGTGAAAGGTGTTCACCATTAAGGGGCTGGCTGTGGCCAAAACTTAGGTGGGCATATGGTGAAGGGGAATAATAGGCTACAGGATACAGAGGGGCAGGCTGTGGACGGCCTTGATTTCTCAAATTATTATTTTTGTGTTGTGCAAACCCTACTTGTTTTCCAAGCTCTTCCAAGTCTGTAACTCAGTGGACCCTCAATAAAGTTTTGATAGAAAACAAATACGTAGCCGGTGTTCATCAAGAATTGTTGTGGGCCCATAAATAAACAACTCTCCCCAGCTTGGAAGTGGCTGAACCAAATGAATGACTTTGGGAGCCAAAAACAAGTCACTGGCCAACTGTAGACTCATTAATTATAAGCAGTTGTTATTTCTTTCACATGAAATAACAATTGTTGAGACAGCACAGTGAGAATTCTCCAAACTCTAGGTGAGAGGGCTTGTAACCAAGGTAACCACCATTATGTCATCAGGATTAGCCATCATATAAGACATAAACTAAGGCAGGGTTTTTAAGACATAGCCAAAAGTATACTTTTCCCTTTTGTTTATTTTTGCTAATAATTCTCACTGTTCTTTAAGAGTTATAACATTGCTAAAATAGCCTTGACAACATAGGGCATTATTTTTAAAAGAACAGCTTATACTTGTGTAGCTATTTGAAGAACCATCATTCTCTTCAAAAGGATGCTAGCCCCAAAGGAGATACTCTTCCCTACTGAGGAAGTCCCCAGTCATTGCCACTTGATTTGGCTGTAAGTTAATAAAACAAAACAACAATAAAACACCCACAAGTAAAACCCCAAAACCCAATAAAAAAGGCCACCTCCCTCAAGTCCTGAGAATACAGTGGCTTTTTAGAAGATCAAATAGGATCAGGCTCCTTTCCTCCCTCTCACCCAAGCTCCATCCTCTTTCACACATTTTACAGAACATAAAGTATGACAATTAAAAAAAAAAAAAAGCAATAACGAGAAAGTGCTATTTTGACCAGAAACCATAAGGCCCGTTCATGTAGAAGTAATTATGGAGAGAATAGCACAGCCTCAGAAATCAATCTGGCTGCTGCTTCTCCTCAGGCGAAAATTAATTTGGCCCACTTGCTGGCGTCCTCAGGCAGACTCTCTACGGATGTTTTGCATGGCTAAGCACCAGAAGAGACAGAAAAAGCAGTGTAAACTTTCTGCAAATTAACACCACTTAGTGATGACACACTTTTTTTTTTTCCTTTTCTTTTTCTCTCCTCTATGCCTAGATGTTTAGTGCCGGAGAAATAAAAGATAATGAAAAACAGGCTAGGCCACTGTTAATGCTTTACAGGAGAGTACAGATTTGGCTTTTCATTTCAGGACACTAAGAAAAAAAAATTCTCTTTAACCTTGGCCAGCACTTCCAAGAATTGCTGATGATTTTCACACAGTGGCAAAAAGTCACCTTCCCAGTCTGACCAATTGAAACACCAGTCCTGTCCCTGGCTGTGCTGCCAAGACCCGGCCAGTCGCTGCCACAGACTGAGCATAAGCCTCCTCGCGCCCCACAGCCCAAACAGCTGGTGTTCTGAGTGTCTCCACTCCCCACTGGAAGAAAACTAAACATTAGAAAAGAAATAGAACAATTCGAAACAAACAATAGAACCAGATCTTCAGTCATGGAAATTCGTTAGAATCTTAAAAAAAAAAAATTCTGAAAGAAAAACATACCAGTTCTTTGAAAAATATCCCAAGAAAAGTATCTCCTCCTCCTAGTTTGAAAATGGATATTATAGCATTTATACATCAGCAGATCTGTGTAGTTGCAGTAAAGCCACAAAGTTTGGGGAGGAGATGCAAGTACCACTGTTGTATCAAATATGCCAAGGAGCCCTCATTGCCATTAGGCAAAACAGTCCCTGTGTTTAGGACATGGATCTGGCTACCTCAAAACCAAAAAAAAAACCCAAATCAGTTGCTGTTGAGTCAATTCCAACTCAGAGCAACCCTACAGGACAGAGTAGAACTGCCTCATAGAGTTTCCAAGGAGTGTCTGGTGGAGTCAAACTGCCAACCTTTCGGTTAGCAGTGGTAACTTAACCACTACTCCACCAGTGTTTCCTTGCTACCTCCGGGTTATAAAATTCAGTGAAACCTGTGAGAGCCAGAACTTGACAGGACTATCTTGTTTTTCCAGGTCTTGCAAGTTTTCCACCTTTCACAGGGTATAGTCTTACCACTTTTCTATTGCTCTCTATTAGTGGAAAATATTTGAGTTTTCCTTCTCTGACTGGTTTTCACCTTAAACACGGGTTCCAGCTTTCACAGGTTTTACTGTAATTCAAAGGTACTATTTGCCGTCGAAATAAAGAGGCAGGTAAGAAAACACATCCCAGGGGAGGGAGTGATCCATGAATGGGCTTTTTTTTGAGGGTGGGAGGATTCTGTGAAGTCTCTTAAGTAGTGAGAAAAAAATTTTGAGTATATATCTATGTAGTCATTTTTCTGAAGAGAATGTCTATAGCTTTCATAAGATTCTTAAAGACATGCCTGCCCCTCCATATGGTAAATAATCCCTGAGCCAGAGGAAGCCCTCACCATCAGCTGCAAAGTTCCTTGTAACTATATAATAAAACAGATGGCATTTTACTCCTGCAGAAAAAAAAAGTTATGATACTATAATTGGTGGGTTGTTCATGCTCAAGCAGCATGTAGTGATAAATCGCTATAATGGTTTTAAATTGTAAAATTATCTTCCTGGTTCCATAAATATATCGTATGCAGTAGTTATAAAGGGGCTTCTCATATAAAGCATTAAAGGACTGTTTCATCGTATCATTCATCTGGTATAGACATATAACATGCTACTCAAAATAAGAATTAATTAAGAATTAACTAAACAATTTTGTTAGTCACCCTGAATTTTATATGCGCTTCCTTGGGGGGATCAAAGGAGCCCAGGTTGCTTTAAAAACAAAACCCAAACCAAAAACCAAGAATCTGAGGGAATGCCTTGGCCAATCCTGAGGTCAACGTTGACTTTGTCTGTAGAGGTCAGTGCTGGGATTTGGCAGGGATGCGTTACCCAATAAGTAAGGTACACACGGGCTTCCTTGTGCTTACTTACTAAACTGTAGTACACAATTTCACCTGTTTTTCACCACATCTTTGATTAAGTCACACGGCAGTGGGAGCAATCCACAAACTTGACACGTGTACTGCATCAAAACCCATAAAGAGAATACTGTCATGCTGAATTTTTCTCAGCTGAGTTTCCCTCATCCCTAAATGGCCTGTGATACCTGCCCCCAAACACTATATCAAAAAGCTCAGAAGTGAGAGACCAAGAAAGTCACTTACCAGTTGCAGGAGGGTGGTCACAGGAGGGGCTTCCAGAGCCAGGGCCTCCCCTAGTGGGATTTGGAGGGTTCACATCAGCCTCATCCAAGGGCTGGCCTCCCCGCTCTGCCTTGTCGGCTACGTCTTCCGGGGGAAGGCCCATGTCATAGGCACACTGGGGCAAGGGTCCACTTTTCGGGGAACCCACGATGGGTTCCCGGTCCTCCCCAGGAGGGTCACGGCAGCCTGTGCGGCCATCTGCCGAGTGGGAGCTGGCTGCCCATTGGGGGCAAAGGCCACCCTCCACCTCTCTTTGCAAGTACTTCTCAGAGGACATGGGAATCCAATCAGTCCTGCACAGCGGCTTGGCCAGGTTGTAGCTTTCGGAATCCACCATGCTCTCTGTCCCAGTGAAGCACTGGCTTAAACTGTCATTCTCCCCCACCTCCAGGGGCCCAGAGAAAGGGGCTGTGGATCTGCTTCCAGGCTGAGTCAGGACCAGTAAACAGTCTGGGGTCTGGGAGGGCCTGTCCACATACTCATCCTCCATGGGCATCGGCCTGAAGGAATCCCCCTTGATCTCGCTGGCCAAGGAGAGCATCGTGGCACCTTCTCCTGCACAAACACCTGCCTCTGGATAGCACATGTCTTCAGAAAACACCTTCTTTTCCCGAGTCAGCAGTAAGACACCTTCGCAAACTTGGCGCTGACTAGAGGTTGCCATATGAGTGCTGATAAAACCGTCCCTCGAGGACTCCTGCTGATTTAAATTCAGAAGACAGAGCTATTGGTACCCAGGGCCATGAGAACGTGGTTCTGCTCAACACTGCTGAAAATGGTGTTGATACTAATTATTTTCACCACAGCAAGTATAGATGGAATGTTCACCACAGCACACTTTGTGTTATTTAAAATTACAGAATAAGAAGTAAAATGAACTAAGGATGGGGGAGAGCCCTAAGATGGAATACAACCAGAAACAAATGAATCTAATGATATTTCACATGAATGGCATCATCCTGCTGATGTGAGCGGAGGAGCTAACCCAAATAACTTTTGAACAGGGTATTTTGACTATATGCCTTCAATCTAAATACTAGAAGAAATACAAACAAATACCAAGCTCTAGTTAGTGGTTTTCTCACTGTGGTATGGTTTAGTAATTCTAAAACTTGTTTCTGTATATTCTAGAATTGAGCAAATGAGTAACTATATTAAGAACGGGAGCTAGGTTTCACACTGGTAGAGAAGGGAAGATTGAAATACGGAAAAGGGAAAGACTGGGCTGAATCCCATGGTGTTGGGACTGGAGTTGGAGAAATCAGCATGTACTCATCGTTCAAAATTTACACATTTTTATGTCTAGGAAAATAGCTCTAAAGGGCACATGGAGATAATTAAAGATATTTTAATATCAAATGTGGATTGGATAATAGTATCGTACCACTGTTATTTTTTTTTATTTTGCTAAATGTACTATGGTTATAAGCAGTCCTAGTGACACAATGGTTAAGCGCTTGGCTGTTAACTGAAAGGTGGGCGTTTCAAATCCACCAGCAGCTCTGTGGGAGAAAAGACCTGGTGATATGTTCCTGTAAAGATTATGGCCTAGAAAAACCCTATCGGGTAGTTCTACTCTGTCCCTTGGGTCACTATGAGTCAGAATCGACTCAACAGCACACAACAACAACTATGGTTACATAAGAGAATATCCTTGTTCTTAAGAAATACAGAGTGATGTATTTAAGAGTACAGGAGCATGATGTTTGCCATTCACTATGAAATGGTTCAGGAAGAAAAAATATATATACATGTACACAGAGAGAGAGTAAATAACAAAGTAATGTGATAACATGTAAATAATTGGTGAATACAAGTAAAGGGTATACAGGAGTTCTTTGTACTATTCTTGTGACTTTCTATAATTTTGAAATTATATTAAAATAAAGTTGCTAAAATAACTACAGAGTAAAGTTGCTACTCTGTCCTTCTAGGAATTGGTACTAGACAATCAAGATTGGTAATTGAAAAATAATATATGTACACAGAGATGACAGAAGTGGAATAAAATACAGAAAAAGAAAAAAAAAGGCATTTAGGTGAGTATTGACTTGGGCTTTGGGTTATTCTGTATGGATCAATGCTGGAATTTGAGGTTGGATCACTTCACGAAGGTATCCATGAAAAATGGGGCTCAATATTTCACTAGCAATAGCTATATTAGCCTGATTGTTAAAGTAGGAATTTGGGACTTCGAACTGTACCTTATTTCCACTTAGGCGGCTGCATGCCTCATTGACCCAGTGCCACAAATTAGCTAGAAAAACAAGGCAAAAATAAGGGCTTCATATGCTGATTTCAATGAAGTACAGATTTTCCACATTATTTGCTATATCAAATTCAGTATTACTGACCACCATGGCAGTCCACTATTATCTTTAAACATAATCTTCTGCCAAGTCTTTCAGTGATAGCTCCTGCGAGTGAAAACATCTGAAAATAAGTCAACTGATTTAAAGACTATGAAAGCATCTTACTCCTCCTATCAAAACCATAACTGGCTGTTCTATGTAAAGCAAAACATAATCCCTTGATGGGCCATCAAGTATCTGGACACACCTGGGGAATGTCAGAGCTGCTGTTATGACTGTAGACATGATCATTCCGTTAGCAATTTTTCTTTGACTATGAGGGACCAGGCTAGGCATTGAAGGGGAACAAAAAAGACATGTCTAGGAGACTGACTTTCCAGTAAAGTGGCTCAAATATATCTAGGACAAAATAAAATGCAGGTGGGAGGGCTGTGTCAGGCTCTGTTGAGTTCCAAACCAAAAACCAAACCCATTGCAGTCAATATATGGTATTTTTTCCATAATTTTGAAATTATATATAAAAAAAAAAAGTTGCCAGGAAAAAAAGGGAATTTGTGGGTCTTTCCTTCTAGGAATCCGTACTTGACAATCATGAATGGTATTCAAAAACAGTATTTGTACATAGAGGTGATAGCTATTAATGACTGTTATTACTACCCTAGGAGCCCTGGTGGTGCAGTGGTTAAAGTACTTGACTGTTAACGGAAAGGTTGGTGGTTCAAACCCACCAGCAGCTCCGTGGGAGAAAGATGCAGCAGTCTGCTTCCATAAAGATTACAGCCTTGGGAACCCTATGGGGCAGTTCTATTCTGTCCTACAGGGTCGCTATGAGTCAAAATCGATTTGATGGCACACAACATCATTACTACCATGATACTTTCTCCCCTGGACAACTGCAAAAGCGCTCCTAACTGGGGTGTTTGCATCCACTCTTACTGCATCCCTACATTTGTTTTTCACACTATAACCAGAGGCCTGTTTCTGCTTCTCTTGCTAAGGATACGGAGCAAACTCCTCAACAAGGCCTGCAGGGCTCTGCATCACCTGGCCCTGCCCACTCTCCAGTTCCATCTCACATTCCATCCCCCGGTCCCTGACTTTCTACTTCAGCTGCACTGTCTTCTTTCAGTAACCCCAACTCACCATGCTCCCTCCATCACACTATTCTCCTGCCACCTGGAATGCTTCTGATTCTCCTTGATCCCCCTTGGGCTAGTTAATTCCAACTTGTCTTTCTGCTCTCAGCTCAAGTGTCTCCTCCTCTGGGAAGCCCTCGCTGATCCCAGGGCTGGGCAGACTCCTTCGTCATCAGCTCATATGGAGCTCTGCAGCTTCCCTGGTCAGTATCAGCCTCACTCCGTGGACCTAATCCTGCCTTGCCCACTAACAGGTTTCCCTGACAAGAGCACTGACTGACTGTGTTTGTTCAATATTGAGACCCCAGTGCCTACTCCAGTGCCTGGTGCCTAATGAACATATAATGAATGAATGAAGGAATGAATGACTAGAAAGCCAACAGTCATAATTTCCAATTCAGTTTAAAAATTATTTCAAGGCAACGGTTTCAGGGGTTTGTCCAGCCTCAGAAGCTCCAGAAAGTCTGGATTCCACGAGAATTTGAAATTCCCAATTCAGTAACTGTTAAAGAAGAAAACATTGGTAAGAAGTCAGTTTATCTCACACAAACATGACCCTGCAGGCGATCCTCATCATCTGAACACACATTACCCAGATTCCCAGTTATGAGGTTGTGAGGGAAGAAAAGTGGCACTAAATAAAAATATTCAATCACAAGTGGACTCTTGAAAAAATTGGTCCCTAGTCAAACCCTGCTGTCTGCTTAGCACCGTCCTCTTCAACTCCCATCTTCACTCTCTGATTATTTTGAATGCCCAGTGTTATATCAGGCACCGTAATGTTAATGGAAGCAGCAGATGTGCAGAGTGTCATGGTGTCCGTGCACGTGATGTGGCAAGATTGGTCAAATCACAGCCAAGCAGAGGTGACAAACTACAAAGTCGAGGAAATGAACACAGGAAAGAATGGCAGAACAAGGGGCAGGATGGTGGAACAAGGGCGCTTCAGAACAGTGTGATGTGATTATCAAAGGACTGTGACACATCTTTAGGAATATGCTGGCGAAGCCTTGACTCCTTCCACAAAATTACACTTTTTTAGTTTTGCATATAAAAGTCAAACATGGAGTGATGTCTTAAGACACTATTGGACAATTTTTGTGTGGAAAGTGTTATGTGTTGAATTGTGTCCCTCAAAATATGTGTTGTAAACCCTAACACCTATACTTGTGCAGATTGTATTGTAGGTGAAATTCTGGTAATACTTCCCAGTATGTCTATGGTTCTTTCTGTTCTCATGACCAACAAAACCCTGGTGCCATGTTATTGGTAAGAGCTATGATAAGAGGCTTCCTTTCTCCTGCAGAGGTCTATCCATCTGGAGATGGTCATCAATCTGGACAACCCATTTGGGAGTGGGTTTTGTTATGTTAATGAGTTACTATTAGTGTAGGTATGTTTTAAGTCAATCTCTTTTGAGATATAAAAGAGCAGATTAAGGAAGCAGAGCTAGGGGAAGACAGATACCATGCCACATGAAGATCATCATGATGGCCAAGGAGCAGAAGCTCAAAGAGACAAGGACCTTCCCCCAGAGCCAACACAGAGAGAAAGGCTTCCCCTAGAGCTGGTGCCCTGAATTCAGACTTCTAGCCTCCTAAACTGTGAAAGAATAAATTTCTGTTTGTTAAAGCCACCCACTTGTGGTATTTCTGTTATAGCAGCACTAGGTAACTAAGACACTATGAAATACCACCTGATTGTTCATTCTAAGAATTAACACCTAAATTTTACTGAATATGAGATAATTTTATAATTTTAGATGTCAACATAACACCCCAATCAAAACTTTTCCCCCACCATTTACCTGAACATTTTGTCCCCTTTTTAAGTGGGGACACATCAAATGGTTGGATTCTAGGATAAATGTAATCCTCCTGTATATCTGATACTGCAGAGTCTACCCAACATAAACGTGTAGCTTAAGTGTCATTGATTTTCTGAATGTGAGAATATTTTTGTTTGCTTATATATAATGCTTTTTTGTCAGAGAACAATGAATCAGATGTAAAGTGTGCTTCAGCTTATTTTAAGCATGGCTACCTCAAGGCACTTATTTTAAGCAGATCACCAAAGGCAGTCTGTGGAGAGTCCACACAACTTCCAACACACATACCTAGAAATGTATTTAAGATTAATTCTCAAAAACCACCATAGACACCATACCTGTTAGTGTTTTCCCTTTTTTCCTGTAGTAAACGCCAAAGATGACAGCAGCAACTAATGCCACAGATATGAAGAGGAGCAGAATAATTAGACTGGGCAAGTAAATCTTGGGTTCTGTATTGGAAGAAAATGAGAAAAACTGTATTAGAGATTATTAAATTTTACTCTCTAAGTTTCAAAACAAAACCATCTGTATCAAAGCCCAGAATCAATGATGTTGGTCTGGAACAGCAAAAGCATGCAGCTCTCCAGCCCCGACTCTACATTCATCAGAGAGCACTCACATTCTGAAGGGTGGAATCATAATCTAGTCTAGTCCTGCCAAGGCCAGCGCAGAGCCCTCATTTGCTGTTATTGTCCCGACAGCCCCTGGCACATGGCAACCCCATGCATGATGGGATCGAACCATTTTATTTGGCTGATTTTTGGAAGTAGATCACCAGGCCTTTCTTCCTAGTGCATTTTTGTCTAGAAGCTTTGCTGAAACCTGTTGAGCACCACAGCCACACAGAAGCCTCATTGTGTGTTTCTGCTGTCAAATAACTCTAATCTTGCTCACCACACCCTCTACGTTCATTGTGGCTTACCTACAGAACCCTTCAACATCTCCAGATGGATGACCTCTACAGGAGAAAGGAAGCCTCTTAACATAGCTCTTCCCAATAACATGGCACCAGGGTTTTGTTGGTCATGAGAACAGCAAGAACCATAGACATATTGCGAAGTATTACAAGAATTTCACCTACAATACAATCTGGATTCATCCATTTTCTTCATCCCATTCTTGATCATGACATTGCTAGAACCTTTATATATAAACTCTTGGTTTACCTCACCCGGTTTTCTGGTCTCCCACCTTTCCTCTTTCTCTCTCTCTTTTCAAAATAACTTTTCATTCCCTCAGTCATTTTTTTTCAGTCTTTTTTATGAAGATTTTTTTTTTTTTATTCTGAAACATTCTGATTTTTTTTCCACCTTTTTATATAAATGAGGTCATACAATATTTGTCCTTTGGTGACTTCATTTCTCTTACTGGCTGAGTAGTAGTCCACTGTACATATGTACCCCATTTTGTATATCCATTCATCTGCTGATGGGCATTTAGGTTGTTTCCATCTTTTGGCTATTGTGAATAGTGCTACAAGGAACACTGGTGTACAAGTCCCTTTTTGAGTCTCTGCTTTTAAGTCTTTTGAGTATATACCTACGAGTGGAATTTCTGGGTCATAGTAGTTTTATTTTTAGTTTTTTGAGGAACCGCCACACTGTTTTCCAAAGCAGCTGGACCATTTTGCATTCCTACCAGCAATGCATAAGGGTTCCAGTTTCCCCACATCCTTGCCAACATTTGTTATTTTCTGTTTATTTTTATTTTTTTATCTTAGCCATCCTAGTGGGAATGAAATGGTGTCTCACTGTGGTTTTGATTTGCATCTCTCTGGACAGCTAATGATGCTAATCTTTTCATGTGTTTGGTGGCCATTTGAATGTCCTCTGATGAAATGTCTATTCAAGTACTTTGCCCATTTTATGATTGGGTTGTCTTTTTGTTGTTAAATTGTTGAAGTTTTATACATAATCTGGTTATTAAGGTTCTTGTCAGATACATGGTTTCCAAAGATATTCTCCCAGTCAGTAGCTTGTCCTTTTTAATGTTACCTTCAAAATGATCTTTTTAAAGCTATGCTCTGATTGTGTAACCCCATATTCAGAACCCTATAATATCCTCCTGCTTCCCACAATGTCAAATCTAAACCTCTAATTTTCTTCATCAAGGCTCGTCAACACCGTTACTCTGTGGCCTGTGCTCTCCAGGCTCATATGGAAGGTCTCCTTGCCACTGAGGTCTCCTCTGATATCTGGACCCACCTCCATACCATCCACTCACCTGGAGTAACCAGCCTCCACTATTAACCATCTGCTTTTCGTCAATCTCTGAAACTGTCCTTAAGACTAATCTTATCTGCAAAATTTTTCCATAATTACAGATACATTCTAACAACTTGTTATCTCCTGTTGACTAGTAACACTTCCCCAAAGACACCCTCACTGTGACCACCATTCTACAATGTCTAGGTATTTTAATTTATGTTTGCAGCCCTACTTCCCTTTTTTGTACATATAGATACATCATTAGCTATACAGTCCAATGCAGAAAAATTATCATTTAAACAACACATCTGGAACTAAAATACTGATATAAATGAAATACTGAGCTGACCATGGATAGGATGAAAAGAAAAGGAAGAGATGAAGCCCTCCAGAAAAAGCATGCAATTTGGGAGAAACCTAGAGTAACTGACTACACTAGGGTACATCTATCGACTAACATGCTATTTTTTAAACATACCATTTGGTGGTTTTCTAGATGGCAGAGGAGAACTACAAACCACATCTGATTTCTCCGTCCCGTGATGTTTTTCTGTCTTTCCAAGAACAGTACAGCTGTAGGGAAAAAGTAGTTAAGCTGAAGTCTTCTTAAAACCAAACAATAGTTTAGCTTAACTAGTAAAAAATGTCTGCTTTGAGCATGATGTTCTTTTAAGAACCATCTATATGGGATCAAATGGACAACAAGCAACTCAAAAGATAGGTAGGAACCTTAGGGGACAGTAAGTTTATGTTAATGGGGGAAGAACAACTCAGAAAAGGAAGGTGAGAATGGTTGCACAATTAGAAGAATATAATCAATGGCACTGAATTGTACATGTAGAAATGGCTGAATTCGTGTACGTTCTGCAGGGTATATTTTCAACAACAACAACAAAAAAAAAACTGGAGTAAAGCACATTAAATGGAGATGTGTGGTTTCCAACTACCAGTTATTGTCAGCCAATTCCGACTCATGGCGATCCCATGGGTGTCAGAGTAGAAGTGTGTTCCAAAGGGTTTTCAAATAAATAAAGTAGTTAAGTGCTATGATTTTACATTCTCATTAAAAAAGCAGCAGCAGCAGCAGCTCCAAAAGGTTCTACTCCACTAGGTTGCTAGCTCCTTCAAGAGAGGAACCCAAGTCTTCTTGGATGTTTGAATTCCTAAGTTCCTTCCACACAGGAGCGGAACCATCATAAAAGTGGATGAATAAATCAACAAAAGTAACGGCTGCAGTGTTTTCTAAGAACTTCTCTGACAGTCTGGTCAGCACAAGAGGAGATTGGTGTCTCCAGTGAAGAAGATTCCAAGTGCTTCAATTACCATGTCTAAGTGATAAACTTTTGATGACTACTCTTTTGAAAATGAAAATACAGAAAATCTTTTCAACATAAAACCAAGATAAGTGGACCAGAAAATAAATATTTAATTAGAATTAACATATTGAGAACTGAAAAGAATCATGATATAGCTTGTTAGTATTCAACAACAAAAACTGCAACAGCATGCCATGGAAGGACCCAGGAATCCCACTATAGGGATACTCATGTAAGTGTGAAATCATGTTTGTATAAGATTATTCATTTCAAAATTGTTTATTATTGCAAAATACTGGAAACAACTAAAATGACTACCAATATGGAACTTATTAAATAAATTATGATACATCTACATAATGGAACACGATGTAGCTGTAAAAAGCAACAAAGATCTAAAAATTATAGAAAGATCTTCAAAATGTATTCTGTGAAAAATCCAAGGAATCGAGTATGCAAACACTTATATAAACAGGAGGCTTCTATATGCACACACAACACACAAATTGGAGACTGAATGATAATCAATATCATACATCATTTTCAACTAAATAAAGTTAAAGAAAAGAAAACACCTGTAACTGTAAGGTAAAGGCCTTAGACTATGGAATGAAAAAAGTAACACAAAGTTCCTGTCACACATTAATTTTAGTTCTTTGACTGGTTTATTTTCCCCACATTGAACTGACAGAATTGATCCGTTTTAAACAGCTTAAAGAGGAAGTCTATCCAAATCGACTCAGTCTGCCTTCAACTCAGACAAGACAATGGAGGTCAAGTTGTTTAACATCAGCACGCTTTCTTGGCTCCTTTCGCATTCACTTACTTGGTCCAGGGTTTGCATTTATCCGTGGAAGAAAAGGCATCCGAGAAGTAGCCTCCAAGGCAAGGCTTGCACACCGTGTCCTTATTGAGCTGCACTGTCCAAAAGACAACAGACAAAAAGAACAAGCAGAAAATAAACAAGGAACACTTAGAGATCGGCCAGGATGATGGCCCTAGGACCAGAGGTCATGTACTGACTCTGCCTGTTTTCTCCCCATCCCTGCCCCTTGCCCCAAAGGTGGCTAATCCTACTTCTGATTCCAGCAATGAGTTAAGGAATTGAGTTTAGAAAGGTAACTGGCTCAAAGTCAGGCTGCTAACCCCAGTATCTGCCGTGCAGGTCCAGACTCTCTGGTCCTGTGTTGTTCAGAGCCATGGTCCTGGTCACTGATACTCTGTCTCCTACTCTGGAAGCCCAGATTATTGGTTCCAGCTCTCTGACTCTCATTCCAACCAGGCACCAGCCTGCTATTCCCTTTCTGCTTTTATTTCTTACATCAGCCTTCATCCACTGGGAATGGCAGCCTTATTACTGCTTTTAAGGGAGACTTCTTGTACTGACCTCTTCTGGCCAGCTTAATCTCATGCTTGTTGGAGTGACAACAAAATTTTATTTAAAAATATAAATAAAAGCCCTACATAGCTCTTTCCCTTAAACTTTTAAGGGGTTGACAAACATTTTCTGTAACGGGCTGTACAGTAAATATTTTAGGTTTTGTGGGTCTTACAGTCTCTGCCACAATTACTTGTTTAGCATGAAAGTAATCAGAGAATGAGCTAAATGAGATAACTGTGTGCCAATAAAACTTTATTTACAAATACAGGAAATAGGAGATATGAGACCCCTGCCTTAAAGCACAGTGCTGAAAGAAGCTGACCCTGGTTAGTAAGCTTTATTATTATTTATTTATTATTATTTAGTAAGCTTTCTTCATCTCTTTCATATTCCTCATAAACTACATTATTAAAATAAGAAATCCCTCAGGTTTCACATGTCCATTACATTTACTGTAATTGGCACATAATGACCCTTTTGGTAATTTCAGTGAAGAAGAACTTGGGCTACCATGTGATATCATAATCAGTCAACTGGCTGGTGTCAAAACCATAAATTGCTCTTGAAATTAGTTGCACTTCTGTAATTTATTTTCATGAATAAAACACTAAAATAAGAAATCAAATTTTCCTTGCTCAAAGTCAGGTAGGAAGTACATTCTCAATTTCTGCAATTTAACTCAAAAAGTAAGATCTCCTCATTTATCTAGCAATTTTGATTTGCCTTGAAACTACTGAAACTATATTAACAAAAGCCCAGTGAATATCTAGTCATTCATATAATTCAAGCAGCCTTTTTTAGAGAGGAACACAGTCTAGAAGAGTAGCCCTCAAAACCACAGAGACAAGACATACAAAGTTTTAAGGGCATTAATTCCTATACACTTGACTTCCATATCTACTCTTTGATGAAACAGACCTGCCTGAGGCTTCCTACAGATCCTCCTTTCCCTTCTCTCCTTTCACAATCACACTTCTCTCACTTTAAAAAAAGAAGGCATACTTCTTACCCATCCCAAATCTGCAATGGTGCCACACCTCAAGGATGCCCAGCAAAGCAACAAGTTGAAATACTGGTGATGGCAAGGTCCCTCTCTCTATTCAGAGGCCCACAGGATGGCTTCTGTCTATCCCTATCTACTAAGGGCAAAGATGTGGCACTAAAAATGGGGTATTTTGGACCATGCTGAATTGTTCTGAATTCAAATATACTGCAAGGTGGGCAGGAGTGAACATTTTCATCCATTCACTTCACCTCCTCTATCCTCCAGCTATTGTCAAAGAATGCATCATTCCCCAAGGAGAAACCTTTGAGAGCAGGGCAGGAGGAACGTTAATAAGAATCCCTGAAGGCAACGGCACCTTATTTCATCCAGATGACAAACTTAAGGAAAGGCTCTGGGCGTCTTCTGTCTTAGAATCAGAATTCAGAAGGTAGATGGCTGTCATGGGAAAATTTATTCTAATAACTGAAAAATTAAGTCAGATGATTTCCAAGAGAAGGCTCATCTGATTTGGTTAATCCATTTGACAATAATGACTGATGGTGCCATTTAGACTCTGTAACAGACATCTTCCTCAATATGAACTGAAACAAATAATATGTCAATGCTCCCAACCCTGCCCAAGTATACTGGGTTAAAACAAGATGCCTTTAAGCAAAAGATTAACGGGCATAATTAATGATCATTTGTTAAATCTTGAATAAACTGCTTTGGTATACTACCTAGAAATGGGGAGAGTAAACGACTCTAAGAAAAAATCATTTGCAAGTCAGGTGGCTTCTATTTCTTTGCTTTCAGCAAAATTGCAGGACGCAATCAAGTTCTCAACTGATCGTGAAAAACAACTTTTGATGCTACATCATTATGTGATCTTTGGCCTATAATTCCGAATGTACATAAAGAATTGAAAGAATTGAGTGACACTGCTGTAACAGAGGTCCTTCCTTAGCCATTTAGTTATTTATGTGAGATTTCTCAGCACTTACATATATAAAACCAAAAAGTGGAAGCAGAACTGATGTTGAATCCTATTGCCTTTAGCGATAAGTAATATTCATCCATGAATATATGAATTAATTGGGAAAAATCTCACTCAATACGAAGTTCATAAGCTTTTATTTTACGTTTTAATATAGCAAAGTATAATATATTCACTTTAAATCAATTGTGTAGTAACAACTGCAATGACAACTCAGTCCAGAACAAATGTTTTTAACTCTTAGAGTTGAGTCACAGGAAATTTTAAAAAATTAAGATTCAAATAGATGCATATTTTATCACGCAAAGGAGTATGAAAAGATGATCAGTAAAAAACTTGCAAGCATAAAAATATATTAGCATAGAATTCTGTGGGGAAGGTGGAATGGAGATGAACTGGAAAGAAAGGAACTATGTAAAATTTCCAACAGTTAAAAAAGATTAGCATTTTTAAACGGGTGATAGTGTTTAGATTCCGCTGAGCTTTTTCAGAAGTGTTACTATGGTTATAATTTGCTGGAAATGAAGTTCTTAGCAACTCTTTAAATTTATAATAAAAAAAATTTAGATGTCAACTTAAAAATCAGTTGGGAGTACATGCTTTTTCAAAATTCTTTTAAGGGTTATAGATGTAAAGAACAGTTTGAGGGGCCCCTGCATTATGCCTTTCCCTCCTAAGTGGTAATCTTAAGGATTTGAAGATGGAGCAGGTCAAGTGCCTCCTCCCCCCAGGGCAGGCCACAGTGGCCCTAAGAAAAGCACATGGCAATAGGGAGGGGAAGTAATTGGGCAAAATCATCAGAAATAATCAGAATGTGGCAGATGAATACCATGGAGCCTTATGCAGCAATTAGAACCAGCAGACTGGAAGGAGACACAGCAACATGTACGGATGATATATAGAACACAATATCATTTATATATGCACATGGAACATGCAAAAATATACATCTATTACAGATTGAATTGTGTCCCTTCCCCCAAATATGTGCTGGAATTCTAACCCCTATGCCTGTGGGTACAATTTAATCTAATGTAATGTAATCCACTTCCACAAAGCAATGTAATGTAATGTAATGTAATGTAATCAATCAGTTCAGGTCATACCAGCGAAGGGTGGATCCTAAACCTAACCGCTGCTGGGTTACGCAAAAAACAGACTAGACACAGAGACATGCATGCACACACTGGGGAAGAAAGACGCATGTGAGCATCACCTAAGAACCAAGGAACTCTTGGGGCTACCCGCAAGGACAGAATCCACTCTGCTGAGACCTTGATTTGGACTGTCAGCCTCCAGAACTGTGAGAAAATAAATTTGTTCTTTAAAGCCAAAAAAAGAAAGAAAGAAATGCACATGGACCGACTATTTACATTCCCGTGGAAGAATCTTAACTGTGGAGTCCCTTCTGCCTCTGCATCTCACAGAAAATCAGGGCCCCGCTCAGTCCCCTCCTGCACCACCTGGCTCCCGGGAGCTTTATTCACGCACTTAACGCATCTCAGAGCTCTCTCTCCCCTCTGTTCAATGTAGCAGTTTAACAAGGGCAGACAGACAACAAACCCAACTGCGTACAAGGGTGCTGGGCGCCAAAGCCGGGCGCGCACTCGGTGTTGCGGCGGCAGCAGGCGCAGTCGTCGCTCCAGTGGTACCCGGCCGTGCAGGCGCAGCGTCGCGGGGCCGTGCGGTTGCCAGGCTCCACGGCCACTAGGGCCTTGCCTGCAGGAGAGAGGAGAAAGCTGGGCATCGCTGCTCAGGTACTCTGCCAAGGACTAGCGAGGAAGCACAGGTGCGCACCTTCCACGTCGTACAGCCTTCCAATCGTCCAATCCCCAGCCTCCACACCATCCAGACAAAGCAGCTGGCCTTTTGCTCTTAAAAGAATAAACCATTCAGGACGCTCTGTCTGAGGAACTCCAAGTTCCTCCTCACACTTCTGTGTTGGCACTTAAACATCCCCATAGAGTAGTAATAATCGGGTTTTGTGGGATGTTTAAAAGTCAGTTTTCACACTGGTAGGAAGATTAAGGACTGGGAAATTTGTGACAATTGATTACTTTGGCTAATGCAGGATAGTCAGATATAGTCACTTTTTTAAATTTTTAGAAAACTCAAACGTGCTAAATATTCTTAACACAAACACTAGATTGTACCTGAGAGAATACTGTTTCTGGAGATTTGGGATTCATCTTGGGACCCTGAAGAGCCAGAGGAATATTCAGAGTTGTGAAATCAAGGATTGTTGTATAATTACATAAGTAGAAGGAGTACAGAGGAGTACAGAGATTGGGCCTGATGACATGCTCTCAGAATTCACCTCTCCTCAAACACTTACACTCCCTGAACTCAGATTGATAATTTGTCGCTTTTTTCACAGCATCTAGAAAATCTTCTAGACTTTTTCCAGTTTTGTAGAATACAGTTCATTGGAATTTATCTACTGTAAATGGGGTGTGTGTGTATATACATATATAGAGAGGGGGAGAGAGCGAGCGAGCCAGGCATTGGTGGTTCAGAGGTAGAATTCTTGCCTTCTATGCAGAAGACTGGGGTTCCATTCTTGCCTTCCATGCAGGAGATCAGGGTTCAATTCCCAGCCAATGCACTTCATGTGCAGCCACAACCTGTCTGTCAGTGGAGGCTTGTGTGTTGCTATGATGCCATCATAGACTGAATTATGTCCCCCTAAAAATGTGTGCATCAATTTGGCTGGGCCATTATGCCCAGTATTGTGTGGTTGTCCTCCATTTTGTGATTATAATTTTATGTTAAAGAGGATTAGGGTGGGATTGTAATACCCTTACCTAGGTCACATCCCTGATTCAATGTAAAGAGAGTTTCCCTGGGGTGTGGCCTGCACCACCTTTGCTCTCTCAAGAGATAAAGAGGAAAGGGAAGTAAGCAGAGAGGGGGGACCTCATACCACCAAGAAAGCAGTGCCGGGAGTAGAGTGCTTCCTTTGGACCTGGGGTACCTGCGCGGAGAAGCTCCTGTTTGGGGGGAAGACTGATGAGAAGGCCGACAGAGAGAGAAAGCCTCTCCCTGGAGCTGATGCCCTGAATTTGGACTTCTAGCCTACTAGACTGTGAGAAAATAAATCTCTCTTTGTTAAAGCCATCCACTTGTGGTATTTCTGTTATAGCAGCACTAGATGACTAAGAGAGATGCTGAAGAGATTTCAGCAGAGCTTCCAGACGAAAACTGACTAGAAGAAAGCCCTAGTGATCTACTTCTGAAAATCAGTCCTATGGATCACAGTGGTCTGATCTGTAGCTGATCATGGGGACAGTGCAGGACCAGGTAGCATTTTGTTCCACTGTGCGTGGGGTCACCATGAGTTGGGGCTGACATGAAGGCAGCTAACAATAACATGTGTGTGTATAAGTGTGTGTGTGTGTGTGTGTGTGTGTGTGTGTGTGTGTGTGTGTGTGTGTGTGTGTGATAACAACACAATTACATTATTTCTAACAGAACTTCTACCCCTATGAACCCCATCTCACCTGGATTGCCCAAATGGCCCTTGCATCTCATATTCCTGAATAGTTACACGTGTTCCAAGGGAAACAAATAAACAAACCAGAAACCTGCTCCCTTCTTCATTTTCTCAAGTTACAGCCAGTAGGGAGGGGACACTTCCTAATCCCATTCTTTTCGGATCTGAGCATGGTGACCCTGAGAAATCCCCATGCCCTCTGTGCCCACTCTCCAAGGCTCAGGTCAGCTCTGCAGCACCAGGGCAAGCAGATACATAATGTTTAGGAACGTACACAGATGCTTGTCACTTAGCTAGAAAATTCTAATTACTACCAGTATCCCACTCAACGGTAAGTGAATGTAAGCCTATTTGGCAATGAATAATTGTAAGTTATTGTCAAATATCTTGGAGCCCTGGTGGTGCAGTGGTTAAGCGCCCGGCTGCTAACCAAAAGGTCAGGAGTTCAAATCCACCAGCTGCTCCTTGGAAACCAATGGGGCAGTTCTACTCTGTCCTACAGGGTTGCTATGAGTCGGAATCGACTTGACGGCAATGGGTTTGTTTGTTTTTTTTCTCTTGGTTTAAAATATCTTAACGCACCAGGTTTTTGGCTTTAATCAATCTTGGCAGTGGACAGGATGAATCTTTATTTCCAAGAGACAGCAATGAGTCAAGGTCATTACTAAGCAGTGGGAAATAAAAAAGCCTGGATGAGATGCTTCTGCTCAGTGGAGATTCCATGTTGCCTCCTCCAGCCAAATTCTGCTAGCTGTTTCTAACACATTAGAATAAGTATGGTTTTAAAAATAATGCTTATTTGCTAGTTCTGTCCACTGGGTGGGGGAGGAACATATACACAAGGATCAATCCAGTAGCAACGAGCCTCTCGAGCCCCCAGACTGAGATCTCTAAATAATGTGATCCCCTAAAAGTGAGGACTCCTTGGAGAAATGACTGATTCCAGGTTTGGGGCAGAAAATGTCCAAGTTGAGCCTGGAAGCCAGGGAGTTCTTAAAAATGACTGAGGCTCCATTAAAAGATTAAGGGGCCACCTGGAAGAGTCTCCGCTGGCTCCAAATGGGACACTCTGATCACCAGTAAGAATAATTACTGCAATGGATTGGAACACCTTAAATACATCTAAATTCATGAGTTCATGATATTACTACAAAATTCTTTGAAGAAAGTTAGGTAATCAAGTCATTATTTTGAAAAGTGGTAAATAAAGCTGAAAAACCAAGGATTTATACTGCCTTTCCTATGTGTACTAGAACTGAGGGTAACCAATAGTTGATGAGGGAAGTTTCTCTTTATAAAGCACTCCAGCTAATCAATGAAGAAGGGATGATAAAACATCGCCTTTTTGCAGGTGATGAAAATGAAAATGGATCTAGTTCATAATCATCAATAGCAGCTAATATCACAAAAAGAGAGACACACAACTATTATATGATTCTGGACATAAGTGCATTATGCCTACTGTGAAGTAATTTTAAAAAAACAAAACAAAACCCAGAATCTGATCAACCTTCTAGATCTAACAACCAAATTACAGGAAATATAGAAGATAGAGGGATACGTTAAATGACACCAAGAAAATATAACCAGCAAAATCCAGATGGTGGAAACACCACAGGACTAACAACTTGGTTTTTTCAACAAACAAACTGAATGGAAAAAGGAAAAAAAGAGAAGGAAAGGAACCTCTGAGCTAAGAGACTTAAGAGACATTTGATCCTGATTCCTACAAATAAACTATAATTAACAAAACATTTGAGACTAAAAAAAAATTATGGCAATCTGGTAAGGAGATCAAACTGTAGGGTCAGTAAAACACATAGTTTAGGACTAAGACTTAAAAGTCAGAAGATCTGGCTTTGAGCCCTGCTTCTCATTTGTTAATCTTGGAGAAGTCACTCAACCTCTCTGAGTCTCAGCCTCTTCATCTTTAAAATAGAATAATCGTGGCTACCTAAAAGGGTTTTTGTGAGGATTAAATGATGCAACATATGCAGAAACATTCTGTAAACTGTAAAATGTCACCTGTAGCTAAAGTGTAACATAAACATATTCTAGAACAACAGTCTAAATGAAGAGTTTTATCATAGGGTGCCAGGGATCTGAAGCACATCCTTCTGGAGGTCCATGGTCCTAACTTCTTCCTGTGCCTCTCAAAAGGCACATCACTGGCTGTGTCTAAAATCTCATTTATATAGAAGAGGAGCTTTGAGGGACGGAAAATGAACACTTGGTCTCCACACATCCCACTGACATGCTGACAGGACTAACGCACCTGTATCACAAACTTTATGCAGCAAGCATTTATCTTCTTCGTTCCAGGTGTCCAAGTATTCATCCGGGCCACAGGGCAGACATACACTTTCAGAGGTAGTAGTGCATTTAGAAGACATGTACTTTCCTTAAATTAAAAGGGAAAAAAAGCACCAATTTACTTGACCAATTTACATGGCCATGATCCCAAGAAGTCTTCCAAAGTCGTGATACACAAGACAAGGTGGCAGGCACAATGAGTGCAGCACCTTCGGGCTCTCAGCAGGTAAAAGAACCTCTCCTGGGTTTGTATCATCTGTGGTCACAGTAGACACATCAATCACTAGAACAGGACATCCTGTTTGATAAAGCAGAGGGTCAGAGAAAATGAGGGAAACCCTCATGAGATAGACTGGCATAATAGCCACAGCAATGGACTCAGACATACCAACAACCATGAGGATGAAGCAACCAGGCAATCTTTCATTCTGTTATATTTAAGGTTGCCATGAGTTGGAGCTGACTCAACGGCAACTAACAACCACCACAAGAAGTAAAGGATCACCCTTTGCACCCCAAAACTCTGCTGCCTAAGGAATACAACTATGGTTTTCAAACTGGGCCCTGCAGAACTTGAGAGGTTCTTTGGAATCTCCTCAAGGAAGAAGGGTGGCTAAGCAGGAGGAACTTCATCTCCCACCACTCCATTTTCAAACTTCTCTCTACCTTCAGTCTGAATAGGGAACTTCTTTTGTCACTAAGGGCTCATGAATTACTTACTTTGTCCAGAGAGTCCTACGCGCACACACACACACTTGAAAATCACTGGATCTTAGTTCTGCATATCCAATAAATATTTGTAGCTGAAATATCCAAAGGGTCCTATTATAAGGTAACTTCATCTTTTCCTCAAAGATACCCTTCCCTCCCCAGAACCATAAGACAGTGAGGACCCAGGGGACCTAGGGCTCCACTGGGTCTGTAGAATAATGTGCTCACACTTCTAGTAGAACAACTCTAGGACAGTGGTGACTGTCCACTCCTCAGCAGGTATGTGGGGAGAAAGTGTAGGAGGTTTGGGCAATTTTTTAGCAG